GAAGATGTTCATCTGAGCCGGGGGTCTCAAACCTGCCTCTTCCATCTTCAGTGACTCCTGGTGACTTGAAACTATGTGACAGATATAGATATAGGCAGATCTTACGATGAGGCCCCTTCAAAGGGTAAACGTAACGCTGCATCCCGTCATGCTGCTCTGTTGTTCAGGCTCCGGGACTGTTTATATGTCGGTAATAAGCTTTACTGACGTGAAATGTTTCAGAGTTATTCACTATTTATAATAGTGGCATCATGTACTTGCTTTGACTGACATATTGAGGAAGAAGTGAAGCTGAATGTGCTTGACCGCGAGGAATGTCGCAGTCGCTTTCACCAGTTTTAGCATCAACAAACAGGCCGTCCTGTTTCTGCGTGGAACGTGTTTGCTGTCCAGATTTATGGAGGTCGGGCTGAAGTTTCCATTTTTAGATTGTTGAACTGTCGAAAACAATAGCTCCGCATCTTTCACGGGCAGCTCACACCAGCCGTTCGCCCTCTTATTGTTCCGTCAGAGCAGAGAGACGCTATGTGGAGAAGTACTGGAAGGAGGCGCGGGTGGGAGACTTCATCAGGCTGCGATGCAACGAGATCCTCCCCGCCGACGTGCTGCTGCTGAGCTCCAGCGACCCCGACCGCCTGTGCCACATCGAGACCGCCACCCTGGATGGAGAGACCAACCTGAAGCAGAGGCAGGTGGTCCGCAGCTTCTACGACCTGGTGAGATGGATGCTCCTCACTTCCTGTCTGCTGTGTTTTCTCTTTTTTGTCAGAAGAAAAAAAACTTTTAACAGGTTGAAACTTTGAGTTCTCTCCAACTTTTAGTTGTCAGGAGTCTCTTTATGGCAGGCGGGGGAGTTAACGTTGTATAAAGTCCCCTCGAAATAAGATATAATTAAAATCCATGGCTGTTTGTTTTTTATTTTAATTCTAATTAATATTTGAGAAAGTCTTTCTCATTGCAAATTGAACTTCATGTCTTGTTCTCTATAAAATCTTAATGAGGCCTGGACTTTGTCACTGGTCATACTAGATTTCATCTAGAGCTACATTTCTTGCACTCATGTACAAATCTGCACTCGTGTATTTGAAAGCTGTCACACACGAGCGCCCTGCCCACCAGCAATAGTTGTGAAATGAAGCAGTATAAACATATTCAGCAATATCAGCCATTTTTAACGTAGTATTTCACATGTGTAACAGTCAAAGCCATCAAGCCTACTTTGGCCCAGCCGGAGCGCAACAGGCCAGCAGTTGTGACGCTGCTGTTTTTGGTGCGTGTGGGAAGCAAAAACCAGGCGCTAATCGCCCGGAGCCTGATTTACAACTAGGAGGACTTGATTTAGGGAAAGTTCCTCAGGTCCAAAAACAACTGTTTAACAACAAGACAAGCTGATCATTTATTAAATAACTTGTGTGGGTGGTTTCTGAGTTGAAAGTCATTGAGTTTTTTTATGGTGGTTAGAGGAAGGGTAAGTCAGCTCAAACAGTGCAGCCTAATCAATCTAGTTAATATGCAAACTGCCCCATTAAAGACTAATACGTTCCATTAGCTGCAACTTTAGTCAACTAACAGAGGAAATAATAGAATGAGTGCAGGTGGGAGTCTCACTTCCTGCACTTTATCCTATCTCGGATGGACTGTTTGGGCATTAGTGTTTCGTAATGCTGTGTAACTGTACTTCCTGGGGAAAGGATAAATATTCCACCTGTCACCTGAAGCTGCATTCTTTACCTGAGTATTGTTTGCTTTCTGTTTGCAGGACTGCGAGTTTGACCCTCTAAAGTACAACAGCATCATCGAATGTGAAAAGCCCAACAACGACCTGAACAGATTCAGAGGCTACATGTGAGTCCCGCCTTTTCTACGCAACTGCCGTGAGGCTGCAGCCGCCACACAGCAGCTTCTAATGCTCGAGTGTATTAGTGATATCAAAGTCTTGTTTTCGTTTCCCTGTAAATGAATGCAGTGTTGTTTGGAGTATCGCCTGCTGCTGGCTTCTGACTGGAAATAATGCGAAACTGTGGTTTGTTGAGAAGCCAGCGGTTTCCAACTCGTAATTATGACTCAAACGGTTTTTCCGAGTCGAGATTAAAATTTGCTTTCCCAGGAAAAAGGGCGCAGGGTTTGAACAGTTGAAGGTGTATGTGCTGTCTCGTGACCAGGAGAACCTGCAGATAATGAGCCCTGTGTGTGTTTTCACTCTCTTTTGTCTGTTGCGGAAATGGTGTGTGCACGATGTACAACAAAGAAATAAGAAAGGAAGGACTAAGAAACATTTCCAGAGAATAAAACCTGAAACAACAAAACCCACTCTGGAATCTCACTGAAGAGAAAGTGAATTAAAAACATTCAACATGAAATAAAAAATAAATAAAAATTGCAGAACTATAATAACTCTGGTCCATCTCCACTTTTACTTAACTGCTACCAGGAAAGGAAAGCACATCACTGTGGGAGATGACAGATTTTCACATTTTAAAACCCTGTGTGTGTCATCTCCACAGTATATTTGTCTCCAGGTCACCCAGTGTAAGGTTTGTGCCACAGCTGTTCTAAATTAACAGTATTGGCAAATACAAAATGAATAATTCTATCAATGAATTTTAAAATGTATTATTTTACAAAATAACAATGATTAAGATGCTAAATTGCAGTCATTAGGAAAAAGATTTGTTAATTTCCCTCATAAATAATATAATTGTTGTGACAGGTGGTCTAAATACTTAGCTAACAGGCTAATGTTTCAGGACATAGAGAACCTGAAAGTCACAATGCCGATTAACTTTTTACAAACTAAATGTTTACAAAATGAGCAAGAAGTGAGCAAAGAAAACCTAAAAGTTAAGTAGAGTCAAGAAACTAAACTAAAGCTGAAGTAACACACTGAGAAAAAATGCAAAACACAAGCTAGGATGGGTGAACCAGACGAGTGGACAAAGAGTAGACAGAACAGGAAACGGGAAGTAATCAACGCAGGTGAAGACGGACGAACGGGAAGTAAAGCCCAAAACAAAGACACAAGTGACAGCCCGAGTGTTAGAGTAAAACAGACGCATCCTAAACACGGAGACGAGATGACGCACATGAGCGAGGAAAAGGCGCGAACTCACAAAAATAAACTTCATCGCCAGGATTTGATTTCACAAGTGCAAAAACTCAGAACGATAACAAGTAAGACAAATTGGGCAAACACAAAGCTTCAAATCCTGGAACAACCTAAAAACGAAAAGCACAGATCATTCATATTCATGCACCAAACTCTCAGATTGTGACGGAGTCGGATGAAAGATGCTGCAGAGTTGCATTTGCAGCATCTCTCTGGGACTTTTTGAGCTTTGCTCATATAAGAGACGAAAAGTCAGAATATGTGACTTTCTGCTGCTTTGATTTTGACGCACGTTTTCCAAGGCGAAGCTCGAGACACCTTTCGACGTTCCTCAGAATGAGTCAGGACCGTTCGCGTCTGCAGTCCTGCAGTAGCGCTTGGATATTTGATGCGCGCAGTTGTGTTCATGCTGCCTGTAGCTATTGGTTACATACTTCCTGTGTGGGTCAGACTTGGTCACTTTTCTGTTAATTGCATTATGTTGGACAAAATGGTTTATATTGAACATCTCACACAGCCATTTGAGGTCATAACGCATATCTATTCCCACTCTTTTTACTCACAGTGGTAAATGCCGCGGGGGTCAGGTTTCCGCCGTCTAATTGAAGTACACTTTATGGGACCTCCTAACTGGATTTGTTTCAAATATATGGCACCCCTTGCCCGAGAAGCCTTCTGGATGTGTCTGCTCAGGCTATTTTTGGATCTTTTGTAATATCATAGTGGAAACACTCGTTAAAGGCATCAAATACGTCTTTCCAATAATTTTCCGACTTTCCTGGGGATGAGTAGAAGAATGGGTGCCAATTTATATGGTCCAGCACTTAACCTCAGGTAGTGTTGCCTTTACCTGCAGACTCTGACTTTTTCTTTATTTATAGTACTGCAGTAAATTGGCACTGTAGCTTTAGCAGAAATGGAACTACTCTTCACAGCAATGCAGACCTCAGCTACTGCTGATAGCAATATGTGGTGTGAATACAGGGGTACTTCCTCAGTGAAACACCATGTAGTAATAACAACATTATTTTTATTTTATCATTTTTATAGCGGCTCTGAGTTTATAAAGAGCTTTAACAGACAGGCTAATGAAGTTAAACAGAGAGCCAAGCAAAATGGTTATAATGTGATGGTTAAAAATACACACCAGGCAAAAACTTGCCTGAAAGATGATAGGATACATGGGTGATTAAAAGTTGGAGGCAGTTGCTGAGTTATGTTGTTCTAAAGCTGAGGGCTCCTCATGGCAAAAGCATAGCCACCTTTAAATTTAAGTAGACAGGTGTAGGGCTGTTCCATATACCGATATATATCGGACAACGATATAAAAACTACTATCGTTTTTATTTTACGCTATCGTTTGTTTCGTGGTGTCGCAAAATAAACCGTTTACGGCAATATTTTTTTTCATCATTTTGATGGTCACTGTAGTGGCTATATTAATTTCTTAAAGTTCTCTCTTTCTCTTATATTTAATATAACCACACTACGGAGGGACAGGCGCCTGTTTTTATGTGTTGTGGTTAGCAACAACGACGGTAACAGCATCGTGTGTCCGCTTGTTTATGTTCCACATAAACCTTTCACAATAAAGCTCAAGATCCTGTTCAGACTTTTCAAAATAAACCGAATCACGTGAAAGAGCAGATTATTTACGGATGAGAATTAAAAAAGAGCCGCCAGGTGCTAAAAAATAAACCTTAGACTCAAACGTTAGAACAGGCTTTTCCCCGCAGCACGCCGTGTAATAAATACTCACAAATAAAACGGCGCCGTTACTTACGTCTAAAAATGTATAGTTTCATGCATCGGTTAAAACACTCGACTCCAGCTACATGACGCGCAGCTGGAAACACTTCCCGCAAGTCGAGCTGCCCGAGATTCACAGAATTTACAGAAAATGTCACATTTTTGTGATTTATATCGTTATCGGACGATAGATGTCTTATATTGGGATATGAGATTTTGGTCATATCGCACAGCCCTAGCCAGGTGGACGCTGAGGATCTGAGGCTACGAACTGATTCCTATGAGCTCGTGTAGCTCAGGCCCGGACCCAGATGTGTTTTTTAAAGCTTTAGGTACAAAGCTGTGAAAAGTGCAGGGAGCCAGAGGTGAAACGCAGGGATCGGGCTGACGTGATGCTGTTTGCTAGAACTGTGAGAGAGTGATGTTTGATTTATAGCAGAGAGGAGGGAGCTGCAGAAGTCCAGCCTTGAGAAACGGATGCTCGGGTGATTTTCTTTCAAAAGTATTGGTTTTTGAGAATCTGAGATTCTGTTTTGGAGAAAGTTAGACTGGTCAGCTTCTCTAAAGCTTGAAAGTTTAAATATTTAGATGTCATTTTGACACAAAAGCTTAAATTTTAATTTAAACTGCCTCATTTAAAACTTTGGAAATGTAGTTTTAATTGTTTCTAGCTTCTCCTTTTTTTTTCAGTGAAAACGTGTCTTGTTTTTCTAGCTTCTTCTAATGCTGTCAGCGTGTGCAATTTTTCAAATTTTGATGGATCGGCTCTGAGATCTTCTCAGCTACAAGTTATAATAGCAAAGGTACATATATAGCAAAGATATGGCCACTACAGCGCAGGTTCTTTGAGGATTTAGAGAACGACAAATCATGCAGTCTTTCTCCCCAGACGCTGACTGCTACTTCTCTGGATTTTGGCTCTATGAGTTATAAAGTGTTGTTGGAGTTCGTGGCTCTTTATTCTAATTAGATTCAGTGAGTATTTTGGAGTAACTCCAAGGTTGCTCCTTTTAGAGCAGGAGTCGAGTCCCGCTTTAGTTGATCGGCAGCATAAAGCCCAATCTGTTCCTAAACGAGCCGTCCCAATAAAACAAATGCATTATATCTGACCTGTCTTTAATATCAGTGCAGTCTCAATAGCATGTCTTATCACATGCGGTTACAGAAGGTATAAGCAGTTGTGTTATTTGATTCTTTATGACTCAAACAGTTTGTCAAGATCTGGAAATACTTGATATTTTCAGGCATGTGAGGAACACTGAAGTTGTTAAAGATCTTCAGTCATCTCAAAGATCTCAGTCAGTTTCCATACTTTGTGCTGGACTGGATCCTTTGTTGTGCCAGTTGTGCCCCACTGCTTTATACATATGTTTAACACTTTATGTGTTACTTAACTGAAGCATAAATCATGCTGAGGATGCTGGTTGTGTAAGACGCCAAATCTGGGAGTCCCAGCCCTTCTTTTGGTTTGATTGTTTAAACCATTTCAGTCTTCCGCTGGATCAGTTTTCCTAAAATATGACTGCGGGGATCATGGGAAATAGGCTGAGTAACCGTGGTTAATCTCACTAGTTCTCAGGAACATGTTTATCTGAGTTAAAACTGTTATAGTTGTTGTAGTGTACACCTTTGCGAAAGAAAACTGAAATGATATTTTGCACATTTAAAATTAAAGTAAATTAAAACGTGCAGGAAACGTCTTTTAGTTTTCATCTTTCTTTTTTTTTTTTTTAGGCCAGACTTGTCAGCAGTGCCAGCCTGAGGAGGCTCTGGTGCTGTGAGCTGATTGATCATATAAAACCTGTCCTGAGCTTCCCCTGAAAAATATCCTCCAGTACAAGAAACGCAAGCTAACAGAGTTCAGATGTTTTGTCTTTACACCCCTGCTTTTACCACCATCATGCCTCTCCAGGTGTTGTCAGTGTGGTCTGACAGCTGGATTCACGCCAGCTGTTCTTCCAGCGTGTCCCCTCAGTGAGACGTGTTGTGTGTGAGAGACAGAAGATGAGACGCGTCCTCGGCAGCAGTCGGGCTGACCTGCACACATGTGATTATGACTTGTGTTCGTCTCTCAGAAGGAGACCAGATGCTGCGGGTATTCAGTTGCCAGGCTACAGTGCAGCGTTGGGCACAGAGCCTCATCTCACCAGAGTTTTATTATATTACAGCCACTGACACGAGTCTAATTTCAGACTTAGAGCACTCTCTGCGTATCACGTGCTGTTATCGGCTTCTCCCACAGTCTCAGCTGCTAGTGACGGCTCTGTTATCAATCTATGACGTGTCAGTCATAGGCCAAGCGCTGGACTTTCCTGTTGGTAAACACGCCGATAGTTGTGACTCTAAAACCGGCAACAACAGAGATGATTAAACGCGGCTCTCCAGCTAAAGGTTGCTGGGCTGTTAAACTAACGTGCTTGTAATCCTTGATTTAGTAATAGGATTAATGCTGACATTAAAAGCTCAGCACCTCCCTCATAATATCACTTTGAGTTACAAAGTGAAGGGGGGGCTGCTTGGTAACTGCTCCAGTATCAGAGGGAATTTGTGCTGACTCCTCCGGAGAGGTGCGGGGATAGGAGTGATTGATTGACCGAGGTGCTCAGCGGTAAAAAATCGATGTTGTGTTTGGACCGGTAATTTTGTTTCTCTCAGTATTTCTCACTTGAGTGTAACTGTGATCCTTTGGCTGTCATTCTCACGCCTCCTCTCACCTGACAGAATCCATCGAAGCGGCAGGAGAGACGCGCTTTACAAAGAGAACCTGCTGCTGCGAGGCTGCACCATCCGCAACACGGAGGAGGCCGTGGGAATTGTCATCTATGCAGGTCGGCCCCCGAAATGACACCTCGGCTGCCACGCAGCTGATCTCACCTCTGACTAACCCGCCGTGTAACTCCGCAGGTCACGAGACCAAAGCCATGCTGAACAACAACGGTCCACGTTACAAGCGCAGTAAACTGGAGAGGCAGATGAATGTAGACGTGTTCTGGTGCGTCATCATCCTGCTGGTCATGTGCCTGTTTGCTGCTGTTGGTATGTAAACAGCTGTTTGGAAGTTTAAGGCGACCTATTGTGTTCATGTCCAGCTGCTTTTTTCTTTCTGGGTATCTCCTCAGGAGTGGTGCAGCTTTGTATCATCCACACCTCAAAATTCTCCTTATTTGTGTATATAAATAAATATTAAAATAAGATATTTTAAAAATGCATACAGGGAAAATGAGAAGAACTGTCAGAATCTTTTGGTTCTAATAACAGAAATCTGCTCTTTCCTTAAAAGATAAATGAATTTGTTTAATCTGGATTTGCTACTTAGCGTCACACCTGGGAAAACATATTTTGTCGTGACTTTGTCGTAGTCGATCTTTAATGAAAACCCTTCGTACGGTAGCCCTGAGAGGTCAAACAAACTGCAACTTAAGAAAACACCAGCAAATTTTTAAAAAATGCTGTAAAATGTCACAAAACATAGCGGAAAAGTTTCTGTGGAGACATTAAATAAAGTGTTTGCATTAGCAATTTACTGTTAGCTTGTCACTTGTGCAGCTGCTCCGTCACGTTTCACCTCCCCAAAAACGTTTCCGTTTTGTTTTGTGAGTTTTTTGTTTTTCTTTGTGTGCTTTTGCTGCGTTATTCTATTTGTGGTTGTTTTTGATCTTTCATGGCCACCGTACCTTCACCTGTGTTAAAGAATATTTCTACAGGCCTCCAAACCTGCAGGCAGAGACTGGACATCTAAATATTTTAGGGATTGCAGACATCCATCTTTTTGTTTTACCCTGAGCTCCTGAGAGTCCATATTCACAGAGCTGAAGTACCATAAAAAAAATTGCAAACCTCTTGAAACCAGATTAAAGAAAACCAGAGAAACACACCAAAAGAGCGCAGATGAGGAGGAGAAGACTGCAAATCCACATCCATCTCAGGAATCTGAAACAGCCATTGTTAACAACCTGGAGCCACAGCAGCTCGATCAACAGGCGCTGGAGGCTTTGTAGTTGTAGCCAGAGCTGTGCCTGAGATGACCCCCACTGACATCACACAGAGCCAAGAGTAGAAAGATAGTCTGAAATCTGAAACCTGCTCTAAACAATACTAGGTTAACACCTGCGAATGTGTTGCCTTGCAGGGATTTACCTAATTTTAATTCATCTTTGACCGCATTTAATATGAGCATTGATCACAGAAACGTCAGAAAATAAATCTAAATATTAACAAGGAATAACAAAACTCTTACACAGAGCTTCCTCTGCTTCTCTCTCCTGTCCTTCCACTGTTTGCATGAGCTGACCTTGTGCTGTTGCTGTTGCAGGTCACGGGCTGTGGATGTTTCAGTATGGAGATAACAGACCCGTGTTTGACGTTCTTAGCCCAGAGGGGACCAACTTATCGCCCATCATGTCAGCCATTTATCTCTTCCTCACCATGATCATCGTCTTTCAGGTACTAAAAAGAAAGCAGCTTAAAGAAGCAAAGGCACAGATAAAGATATAAAGGCAGTATCACGGACTGTGAAATGTTTTATTCTGCTGTACATCGTGGCAGTATTTCAGCCTCCCTCTGCGTGTGACCTCTAGATCTTTTTCTCTGTTTGTTTGGAAAAGCAAAGATGAAAAATGTGTTGCTTCGAGCAGCAAGACAGTCTCTTTAATCTGAGCTCAAAAGGAGGAGAAAGTGAGACCCAACAGTTATTGATCTGGTTGTGTTTTTTTTTTAGGCAAAAAGTTTCAGGGGAAATGTCGGCGTGTCCCGTGTCACAGCAGCAGCAGACGAGCCGCCCCGGTGTCGGCCTTTCAAAATAAACAAGAAATCGCAGAGGGCAGTTCTTTGGTCTCGCTGTGCAAATAGTAACAGTAATGCCAGAAAAATGATACACTCTGAAATAAACACATGACTGTTGAGCAGCACGAGGATTGTGTGCAGACGTCGCTGCCTTCCCCAAAGCTATGACTCATTTCTCCGGAACTACTTTCCATAAGCGTTGCCTGGAAATGTTCCACTCTGGATTACACCAACATTTTTTAAACAATCCAGCATATGCCCAGTGTACTTAAAAAATCACTTGTTTAGCATTTTGGAACTAAGAAGCAATAATTCTTTTAATTATGATGTTTTGGTTTGGGGTTTTTTTGTTTTTTTTTTGTCAGATATAGCCCCACAGAAATCCCAGATGAACTCTTTCCTCTTATTTCAGGCATCTATCTGTTCCTATTCATCCATTTTTAACTTGTTAACTGTTTTAGATATATCTAGGCACCATGTGTAGCCAGTGTAAGCATTGTAATATGTGCAATATGTAATGAGTTGCAAGAGGAAAGTTATAGAATGATACAAAAATGAGCCACCAAATGACGAAATATAGCACTTATATTTTATTAGATGTTGGTGATGATGATCTTACTGGTTATGGTCATGGAGGGAGTTGTCCTATTGGTTGACTTCCACATTAAGAAGGTGTGACTGGGCCTTCCTGTCCTCTCGTTTCCGTGCTTTTTATTACCGTAGTTACTACTGACCATGTAGTCATAGCACTGCTGGACCCAAACCCTTTCATTCGCTGCTAAATCGTCCCGGTTACGACTGCTTGAGAACCTCTGTGACTTCTCAGTGGACACAGCGAGCCAATGAGAAGAAAGCTCGCCTTCTGTCTGTACTTCACTCATTCCAGTAACCTGTGAACTGGGATGGATTGTGAGACAGATGAGCTATGACGTGTTTGACGTTCTGGTTTTATCCCGAACTTGTGAACTGAGCTGTGTGAGGTCACAGACACGAAAAAATAAATATCTGTAAAATATTCGGTTAATGCGACATCTGCTGCCACCCTCATGCTTCCTCCCCAGCCTCTGGCCTCAGGCTTTCCATGTGTGATCATTTAAAATTTGCTTTAAATTAGTATTACCTGTACTAATTAATGTACTTAATATTTGACTGTTCAAGATTTTCTTTTTGGGTTTTCCAATAATTGAATCTCTTTTTTACAAGATTTATTTAATTATTTATATGAATTGATTTTTTTTTTAGCTGCAGTTTACTTTTTTCTGTCTCTACTGGGTTGGGTTTTTTTTTGGGGGGGGGGGGTCCCTCATTAACGCATTTAAACTTTTTTACATCTTTAGCTATTTGTTCTTCTGCATCTTCACTCTTTATTTGATTTGATTTCACGTTCAGACGTTCACACCATCTTTCCATCAGTTTCCAGGATGACAGCCTGCTCTGCCTCTCTCCTCTCCTAGGTCCTGATACCCATCTCCCTTTTTGTGTCAATTGAAATTGTCAAGATCTGCCAAGTGTACTTCATCCATCAAGATATGGATCTGTACGACGAGGAGACAGACTCCCACCTGCAGTGCAGAGCACTTAATATCACAGAGGATCTGGGCCAGATGCAGTATATCTTCTCTGACAAGACAGGCACGCTGACGGAAAATAAGATGGTGTTCCGGCGCTGCACTGTGGCAGGGGTGGAGTATTCCCATGATGCCAACGGTGAGACGACCAGCCAACCCTCTCACACGCTCCCTTAAAGAAACAGTAAGCGGTCATCATCTTCTAAGTCACCACTAACGGTGTGTGTTTGTTTTTCAGCTCGAAGACTTGCCATGTACCAGGAAATGGACTCGGAGGAGGAAGAGTGCATGTCTCACGGTGGCACCCTCCCCAGGCGGGACAGCGTGACCAGTCACCAGAGCGCCCGCGTGGTGCTGCGGTCCCAGAGTACCAAGTCCCACCGCAGGACAGGCAGCAGGGCCGAGGCCAAGAGAGCCAGCATCCTGTCCAAGCACACGGCCTTCAGCAGCCCCATGGTGGGTCCTCATTACTGCTCTACAATCCTCATCCTGCCTCCTTTACTCTAACAAACCTCCGTCTGTTCTGCAGGAGAAAGACATCACCCCCGACCCCAAGCTCCTGGACAAAGTCAATGACTGCAGCAGTCAGATGGACTTCATGCGCTTCCACAGCCAGCCTATGTCCCAGCTGCCCTCTGACCTCTCAGACATCATCGATTTTTTCATCGCTCTCACAATCTGCAACACGGTGGTCGTGTCCTCCCCCAACCAGCCAAGACACAAGGTAACACTCACCTGTTCAGGTCAGAAACATCAGTTTGGTCAAACCTCTGTCAGGTCAGAGAGGGATTGTTTGTGGACTGGGCCGCACAATGATGTTACCTCAACTTCATTCCACACCTCCTGATTTCTTCTCTTTTGACTTTCATTGCTGTAAGTGTGTGTGTGTGTGGTAAAGACACTAAGCTCATAATAAAGTGTTGACAGCGTGTCAGTGCCTGACTTGCTGCAGTCATCAGAAAGCATCTTAGCTTTTTATCGGGGCAAGTGTCGGCTCTGGGAAATTATTTATATAAAATCTGTTTTGGTTTTTTTGGACTATGAAGCCTAAAAAAGACAGAAGAGTTACAGGCCCTTGGTGTGCAAAGGGGTCGGTTCAGATTTCATAAGTACAGGAGGTAGATGAGATAGAAAAGTCTAAAGCCTAAATATATTTTCTGTTAAGAACAATTTTTTTTTTCTCTTAAGCGACTCTGAGCGTCAGTATCTCAGGATCTATCATAGTGTGAGAAAACTGCACCGATTTAACGTCTGTGACATTGAAGAGCATTGGTACCCTGCATGCTTATTTTTTTCTGAGAATTCACTGGGGAAAACCTAAAGTGCATTGTGGGTAAATGTTTAGGGGTCATGGTGGGATAGTTGCCGTTATTCCATCTTCATCGAAATAAGTTTTTGTAGAAGTCAGGTTCCTGGCAGGGGCAACAGGAAAGGTTTTATAGGCATGAATTAAAAATGAAGCATTAGATTGTATATGTTCAAAATGGCAGGATATTATAAGAGTCCAAATCCATGATTCGGTTCATTGCTTAAGCAGCTCCCTATGACTTATTAGAATAAACACCAGAGCGCATGACAGTTTCATGTGTCACCACATGCACATTACTGGGCTGTTGTTCAGCCTCTTTTTGCACGCCTGCTGTTTACACCACCATGTGCACAGCTAACCATCACACCACAGACTCGTCTCTGCAAAGTGACGTGAAGTCTCCTCTGTCAGTGATGTAAGGAGGGTAATCTGCAGTGGCAGCAGATCAGCGTTTGGAGTTTTTCCATATCTGGGATTGTGATTTACAAAGTATTAGGGCTGTTCGATATAACGATATATACTGGATGACGATATAAAAACGTCTATCGTTTCATTTTATGCTATCGTTTGTTTCGTGGTGTCGCAAAATAAGCTGTTTATGGCAATATTTTTCCATCGTTTTGATACTGTAGTGGCTATATTAATTTCTTAAAGTTCTCTCTTTCTCTTATATTTAATATAACCACACTACGGAGGGACAAGCGCCTGTTTTTTATGCGTTGTTGTTAGCAACAACGACGGTAACAGCATCGCGTGTCCGCTTGTTTATGTTCCACATAAACCTTTCACAATAAAGCTCAAGATCCTGTTGAGACTTTTCAAAATAAAAAAAACTTTTCAAAATAAGATTATTTACGGATGAGAATTAAAAAAGAGCCGCCAGGTGCTAAAAAATAAACCTTAGACTCAAACGTTAGAACAGGCCTTTCCCCGCAGTACGCCGTGTAATAAATACTCATAAAGAAAACAGCGGCCGTTACAACTTATGTCTAAAAATGTATCGTTTCATGCATCGGTTAAAACACTCGACTCCAGCTACATGACGCGCAGCTGGAAACACTTCACGCAAGTCGAGCTGCACGAGAGTCACAGAATTTACAGAAAATGTTACATTTTTGTGATTTATATCGTTATTGGACGATTCTTATTCTTATATCGGGATATGAGAGTTTGGTCATGTCGCACAGCCCTACAAAGTATCATTAAGAATTCATACATAACTGGTTTGGTTCACAGTTGCACTGATGGTTAGTGGACATGTAGTTTGAGGTCACAATCATATAATGCTCCAAATCATTAGTTCCCATGGAGACACTTTACTTTCTTTGATGGTTCCTTGTAATCTATATAACTATTAAATGTACAGACTGGAGGTATTATAAGTAGTATTGGTGGAAAACATTTAATTGAAAAACAATAATAGACAGAGTATAAGAGCATTCTGGATCTCAGAGCCCATCGACCTGCTCAGAAAATTATGGGGTTGCACAATCATTAGTGGTTTAAAGCATGGGTCTGCTGTGTGTTGCTGTCTGTAGAAGTAGATTTATTTTTGACTTCTTTACAGTGAAATAAGTACAGATCCTGTGCTTAAAAAATACTAACGAGCCTGTTTTGAAAATGTAAGAAGTAGAAAGCACAGATATGTATTTAAGCGAGGAGTAAAGTAAAATAAAACGTTGTCAGAATTCTGCCTAGGTTTAGTAAAGTATTTGTACTTTGTTACCTCCCACCTGTGGTTGCAGGTGACCTCGTTCTCATACAGCTCACACTCATGAGGTGAACTTCAGGTTTTTCACAAATCCTTTGTGATCCAAAGAAGATTCATATCTTAAAGCTGTGTCTGTATCAGTGGAGAAAAATGCAACTGAAGTCCTTCCAGCACGCTAACAAACGAGCTTTGTGTTTTGTGTTTATGTTTTTTTGATCCATGTGGGAGTAGTTTCCACCTTTTGAGCGAAAGCTGCATGTTACGAGTTTACAAAAACGTTCCAGATCTGACGCTGAAAGTGTGCGCTTGCACGTAGCTTTCACTACTTTTTCCGCGTTTTGTTTCTGGGCCTGGGTGTGGTCGTCCTGTCAGGAGGCGATATCCTCTCCTCGCCTCACGCGGCGTGCACTGGCTCACAATGGATCCCGACTGTCAGAGCACAAATCTGCTCGATGAAACTGTACACGGTGGCACACCGTTTATGTATGTCTGTGTTTCTCTTTGGAGGTCATCTGATAAGATGCACGTCTGCACAGAAGCGCTGACTTTTCTTTCGGTTTTTATCGGTTGTTTTGCTGTCCCGTGTTCCAGAGCAATTGTTCACATTTTTATTATGATGCCCTTGTGTGTAGCTGGGCCACTGAATGATTTATTCTTGTATATATGTGAGAACTGTGGTTCCCGCTGCCAGGAGACCTTAAAGTGAGTCGCTTTTTCTTCTGTTGTACTGCGGCACCTTGGGATGAATGATTGGCCGAAGGATTATGGCCAGGAGAAGCTTTTTCATCAGAGATAAAGTCCTCTGTATTACCAGAGCTTTTCAAACATTTCTAAGGACTAAAACGATGTAGAACATCCATCTTATGAGCTTCTTAACCTTAAGAAATATTCCCCCAAAAGCAGCACCTGAATTCACTCGGAAGTCAACTTCTTATTCATTTCATCCATTTGAGCATCTTTCTTAGTAATGCCATATGCTGCAGTAGTCATAGAGCCAGAGGCTAGTGGCTAAATTCATCGTTATTTACGTTAATGTCAAGTATTTTAACCTCAGGATCTCTTTTAACCAAGTACCAGTCTCCCCTGCAGAAAGCTGCAGTTCCTCCAACGTCCATCGGCGGCTCCAGAAATGAGCCAGTCCCTCTGGATTGCCACATTAACATCTCTGACTTTGCGACACAAATGGGTTGAAGCCTTTAGCTGTTCACTCCAACAACAGTGGTTGATGTGACAGTGGCTACATCCATCTTTTATTTACAGTCTGTGATCTACACCAATTCCCACCCAGTGACAGAATCTCGCCTCAGAGCCCGATTTGGATTATTTACGCAGTGCTGCGTAAGTCGTTTTAACTTGCTGGCCTTTTTCTTAAATCCACTTATGCACAAAATCGATTTTTTATATTTGACCTTTTTAGGTATTTTGTACTGGCTGATGAGCATAAATGATTTTTTTTTTTTTGACACAACTATTTAACAATCTATAGAAAGAGCACTCGGCTTTTATCGCTGTTTTTTACTGTGTTGGTTCTTTTTATGGAAGAATCTGTCCCAATGTCTGTTTAAGTGAGAGAAAGACTGTTGTGTCACATTCTCTGCGTCAGACTCTTATTGCCCTAAAATGAGCCTGATGGGTTGTCTCGTGTCTTTTATCACTTTCAGTGGTCTGTGTTAGATTTAAGAGCACCTGGAGAAAAAGATGAAGATGGAATCAGGGTCTGTTCTCTCTTGGATTATAAAAACATTATTTTATGCCTACACTTTCTGCTCCTGCAGGTCAGGATGAGGTTCGAGCTAAAGTCTCCAGTGAAGACCATCGAGGACTTCATCAAACGCTTCACCCCCAGCCGACTGACCTCCGGCTCCAACAGCAGCAGCTCCTCCAGTCTCATCACCAACCGATCCTCCAATAAGGGCTGCTCCAGCCTGCTGTCCTCGCCCTCGGCAGAGAGCACGCTCACCAAGCTGCACGAGGAGCAGCCCTCGGGAGGTTTGGAGCAGGCTTTTAGCCCCATCCCGCCATCCTACGATGGAAAAACCTCCTGGAACCTCGACGAAGGAGAGCTGCGCTACGAGGCAGAGTCGCCCGACGAGGCCGCTCTGGTCTACGCTGCCCGGGCCTACAAGTGCTCCCTGGTCGGACGCCTCCCCGACCAGGTGATCGTGGAGCTGCCTCACCTGGGGAAGCTGAGCTTCGAGCTGCTGCACACGCTTGGCTTCGACTCCACCAGGAAACGCATGTCTGTGGTGGTTCGACACCCTCTGACTGATCAGATCACCGTCTACACTAAAGGAGCAGACTCTGTCATCATGGATCTCATCAAACCCCCCGACACAGGTAGGAAAACACTTGTTTGGGAAATCTCTGCAGACCGTTGTGACCAGTGAGATTTTTAAAAAAAAATGTTAATGGGGATAATGAGCAACGGCACTGCTTTAGCTTGTGATCATGATGTGGTTTGGAGCGCTATGTGAAAGATGAAGCATTGTTTAGTGAAATTACAGTTTCATTATAGCATGAGATGTCAGACATGGAGATCAGCCTCAAAACACAGAATTTAATCTTTGCAGCTGATTCTGTGGTCCACTGAAACTGCAAACATAACAAATTTCTCCCAAAAGAATTATTGACTGACGGAACTGATTAACAGATGACTTTCAAAAAGCAGGCATTTCCTCTAAATCAGGGATGTGAAACTCATTTTATGTCATTGATCGAGCAAACTGGTGAAAGTGCCAGTCGCAGTTTGACATTTTGCTAAACATTTAACAGTTTTTCTACATAAGAAAGACGTTCTGCAGTAGCAACTGAAAGAAATCTGTCAGGATGACTCTTTGGGCTTTAAATTGTAAGACATAAATGTTTAAAATTACAGGAAAAAGCTCCAGTAGCCCAGACTGAGTTTTTAACTGTTAAATAAATATATTAAAACAAAAAAATATAAATTTCTATCATAGTTGGTGGCTTCCTCCCACCGTCCAAAGACATGCAGCTTGTGGGGATAGGTTAATTGGATAATCCAAATTGCCACTAGGTGTGAATGTGAGTGCGAATGGTTGTCTGTCCCTATGTGTTAGCCCTGCGACAGACTGGCGACCTGTCCAGGGTGTACCCCGCCTTTCGCCCTATGACAGCTGGGATAGGCTCCAGCGCCCCCCGCGACCCTGAAAAGGATAAGCGGAAGCGAATGGATGGATGGATGGATGGATATGAAAAACAGGACATTTTCTGTCATTTCATTGTTTCCCTTTTACTTCAGTGTAGTATAAATGAGCATGGGGGAGGTCTTCATCAGTAGAAAAGTTGTCAAAGTCTTAAACATTTGCCCTCCTTCACATTTTTCACACCTGTCCTGCGGGCCGGTTTGGAGTCTTTGCTGGGCTGATTCTGGCCCCAGGCCTAGTTTGTGACACTTCCGCTCTAAAGCTGGCTTTTGACATTTCTTTATACTTTTCTGCTTCGTTATGCAAATCAGTTTCTGTCATTAAAGGTGAAGTGAGGCTTTAGCTTGATTGACTGCAGGTAGGGCTGTTCGATATAATGATATATATCGGATGACGATATAAAAACGTCTATCGTTTCATTTTACGCTATCGTTTGTTTCGTGGTGTCGCAAAATAAACTGTTTACGGCAATATTTTTTCATCGTTTTGATGGTCACTGTAGTGGCTATATTAATTTCTTAAAGTTCTCTCTTTCTCTTATATTTAATATAACCACACTACGGACGGACAAGCGCCTGTTTTTATGCGTTGTGTTAGCAACAACGACGGTAACACATCGCGTGTCCGCTTGTTTATGTTCCACATAAACCTTTCACAATAAAGCTCAAGATCCTGTTGAGACTTTTCAAAATAAACTGAATCACGTGAAAGAGCAGATTATTTACGGATGAGAAGTAAAAAAGAGCCGCCAGGTGCTAAAAAATAAACCTTAGACTCAAACGTTAGAACAGGCTTTTCCCCGCAGCACGCCGTGTAATAAATACTCACAAAGAAAACGGCGGCCGTTACAACTTATGTCTAAAAATGTATCGTTTCATGCATCGGTTAAAACACTCGACTCCAGCTACATGACGCGCAGCTGGAAACACTTCCCGCAAGTCGAGCTGCCCGAGATTCACAGAATTTACAGAAAATGTTACATTTTTGTGATTTATATCGTTATCAGACGATAGAATTCTTATATCGGGATATGAGATTTTGGTCATATCGTACAGCCCTAACTGCAGGTTGACTCTAGAAGTAGCTGTGTGTAGTCAAGAGACCGCTATTAGGCGAGACTCTGCTGTGATCTAGAAGAAATTAACACCACGAGTTAGGACTGTTTGCTTTTGTTGTGTCTATGTATATGTTGAAAGTGCATGTATGTCATGTGACTACAGTGCTTAAAGTATCCACACTTTACCTGCTTCACATTTTGTCCAACGTGGACAGACACATGTGGAAACGGGACGACAGTGTTATTTTGTTTTTTTCTTATATAGTAACTTTGAATCCCTTTTGGAATAAGGCTGTAACGTGACAGAACAAGTGAACACTGTATACTGTCTGTAATTGTTGTAGAGTCTTTATGCTACAATATGAAACGCATTGAGATGACAGACTTCATGAATTGGTGCTTTATATCTGATCGTCTATTTCAGGTTTGAGTGGTTCATTGTATACAGTCTGTGGAGGTCTGTGGTCTTGGTCTTTATAAACACTCGAGGTTTCACTGATACTTCCCCAAACCCTCATGCTTTCTACTCAGGTGAAAGGATAAAGTCACATGTTATATAAGGACTTTTATTTTTAGAGCTGCTGAACTCAGAGCCTGCCTTGACTAGGGTCTTAAAAAAGAAAACTTCCCTGTTTTTGTTTGTTTTTTTTCCTTTTTTTCCTTGTTCCATATTCTACAGCTTCTTTTATGTCCTAAAGGCAAAGGCGTAGCAGGGTCTTACTATTCCAGTCACACAAAGACCTACACAGACCTGTACCAGACATCTTTCCAGGGGTGCTTAGCAAAGACTGTTTCAACCCACAGGAACACGTGAAACAACACGCAGTGTGGAGGTCTGCAGCCTGGGATTACGTCACCTTTTTTAATGATATTATTGCTTTAGAATAGTTTAGAAAATTCCCATGACAGTGTCAAAGAGTTAACAGGTTAACATCTTTATTCCACATCTTAGAGAAATCTATAAAGAACTGGAAACAGTTTACTGACTCAAATAATTTAACCTTTCTTAAAATTCACCGTAGTTTCTTGGATATTAGTTATTTGTTGGGAAAATATTTTATTGTTATCTCTAGGGCTGTTCGATATAACGATATATATCTGATGACGATATAAAAACGTCTATCGTTTCATTTTACGCTATCGTTTGTTTCGTGGTGTCGCAAAATAAACTGTTTACGGCAATATTTTTTTATTGTTTTGATGGTCACTGTAGTGGCTATATTAATTTCTTAAAGTTCTCTCTTTCTCTTATATTTAATGTAACCACACTACAGACGGACAAGCGCCTGTTTTTATGTGTTGTGGTTAGCAACAACGACGGTAACAGCATCGTGTGTCCGCTTGTTTATTTTCCACATAAACCTTTCACAATAAAGCTCAAGATCCTGTTGAGACTTTTCAAAATAAACTGAATCACATGAAAGAGTATGCAGAGTATTTACGGATGAGAAGTAAAAAAGAACCGCCAGGTGCTAAAAAATAAACCTTAGACTCAGACGTTAGAACAGGCTTTTCCCCGCAGCACGCCGTGTAATAAATGCTCACAAAGAAAACGGCGGCCGTTACAACTTATGTCTAAAAATGTATTGTTTCATGCATCGGTTAAAACACTCGACTCCAGAAACACTTCCCGCAAGTCGAGCTGCCCGAGATTCACAGAATTTTCAGAAAATGTTACATTTTTGTGATTTATATCGTTATCGGACGATAGATGTCTTATATTGGGATATGAGATTTTGGTCATATCGCACAGCCCTAGTTATCTCCAGTTATCGCATTTACAGACAGAGTTTTCAAACTGTTTGACGTTTGTCTTTCTTTAAACTCTGTTTATCAGTTCCGGTTTTCTTGTTTGATTAACTTTCCTTACCATAATCCAGTCTGAATCCAGATCTCTGCTGGCATCTCCGTAATTGTGATATTTTGGAGCAAAGAAATCCTCTTCCCATTCAAATGTTTTGAATCCAGATAAAAAACTGGATAATGTTAGCAGATCTTTTACGATTCTGTAATTCCATTTACTTTTTGCACAACCGGATTTCAGGATTTGGTCCTATCAGATTGGATTAATCCTGCCAGATTATATTTCAGCAACTGGGCCCTGAGATTTACTAAAGCATTAAAACCTGCAGTTCCTCCAACATCCACCAGAGGCTTCAGAAAGGACCCACATTTTAAAACATCCAACTTTACAGCAGAAATAAACATGTTTTTATTCGGCCACAAAAAAATGTGTCCCTCTTTTATAAAAACAGACAGATACATTCATCTTTATACTGGAGTGAGGTAGTCACTGGGTGTGGCTGCTTTGATTGGCAGACTGCTGGCTGGCTGCTAGGATTCATCTTTGGTGCAACTCTCTGACAGATGATGTGAAAGGCAGAGAAAAACGCATACAAAAATGCAATCATTTCATTCCACTTATTATAATTCGCTAATATTTTAGAGTCATAATAGTCCTTGACATTAACTGGTTAACACAGAATTTCCACAGATGGACACAGATGGCATCGACTTCTCACAAAGATGAAAAACAAAATGAAAAATGTTATAATGAGCCCCTAAATACACTGAGTCTACTATGTGTGGGAAGCACGAGTAGTAAGTGAATAAATCGAGTCGTAACTGTGTCAGTAGATGTTGGCATATCGTGGACTGCGTGTGTATCCTGCAACAGTGTTTACCACACTTTATACAAGCTTTCCTATTACGGCACAATTCCTTCACCGCATCATTTGCTCAGAAGTGTAAAAGTGCTCTGAAGTGCTTTTGTTTTCATGGACTGAATCAGCCGGTGCAGCAAACTGTCTTGGATCCCCTTCAGTAAGAGCATGCTGTCACGTTGTGCGAGTAATACATTTCTTTCACGTGCCTGCTTAGTGGCTCCCTCCTGTTCATTAAAGGCATCTCAACACGGCTGCGTAAAAATGGCTCTCCAGCTGAAATGATCCTCCTACGCCGAATGAGGACTTGTTAACTGCAGCAGACAAATGGAGATGAGCCCACCCCCCAAACCTCATTTTGGCATGTTTTCTTGCTGACATGTAATCTTATCCTTTGGAGAATTCTGAATTACAGTATGATTAATTGTATTGATTTTCCATCGTGCATCCCGTGCTGAGTCCTGCACACAGTGCTGGGTGCACAAGTTTTTCCGCCTACTTAAAATTCAGTTGCTCACAAAAACAGATCATACAGCCTAGTGTCCCAATTGAGCAGCTTTAATGACCATTTTGGTTCCCCATTGGGCAAAAGCAGCCAATTAGAGCTCAGCAGGCACCGGGCCTTCTCATAACCCAGAATGTCCATAATAGCTCCATTCAGGGGATGAGGGAGTTGTTCAGTGTCATTCTAATAACAGGACATGTGGAGGTGACAAACTGTAGACCTTTGGAGATGAAAGTGTGCCTGCAGACTCCTGTTTAGTAGTTGCACTGTGAAACTACATTTATTATTTATTCACACAATAAATAATTCATTTCAGCAATAAAAACGGGCGTGTCAATCCCTGTCAGTAGGTCCCAGATTTGGATCTGAAAACAGCTGAAATCGAGGAAACTGTAAAGTTAAAATAAACAAATTGGTGTGGTGTCTGCAGTAAAGCAGGTATATTGGACTCTCGTGGTGAAAACGAGGCAGAGTCACTGTCAATTTAATAGTTGGTGTACGTTCCAGCCTTCGCCTGTAGTCGTGCAAGGTTGTGTTTCGTTTTTAGGGTGGCAGTCGTAGAGATAAAGAGCTTGGAGTACAGTCAAAAGGAGTCCGTTGAGGTGATTGTGGGTTCATGTAAGGATGCTGCTCAGAAGCCTCCCTTTTTTCAGGCACTCCCAACTGGAGGAGACACTGAGGTAGATCCGTATCCCATTGGGTAGATTATATCTCATCTGGGCTGGGAATGTCTCAGTGTCTTCCAGGAGGAACTGGAAACTGTTGCTGAGGAGAGAGACATCAAGAAAATCAGCTTAGTTTTCTGCCAACGTGGCCCAACTTCAGAAAAGCAGACGATAACGGATGTTCAATCAACTAACTTGCAGACATTTAGATGATTACCTGTCACCTCACTGGTCTACACTCATGTGGTAGCCCAGAAACATCGATTTCTCTATAATATATTATATATAGAACTAATCAAAACTAATCAAGCATCAGGAAGGCCATCAGGCATAAAATCTCTGCCAGTTCAAACATGTGGATCCATCCGCTGTAGAAATGAGGGCGCAGCCAAAAGTACTTTTATCCGATAGCCACACTAGCCATCTGTTTAGGGGTCATTAAGGTAGCAGCTAGCAACTGTGGCTAATAATGAAATGATGACATTAAATTGGGAGCGAGGCTGCAAACGCTGTGATTCCTGCCCATCTGTAACAGTGTAATAGAAATTGTTAATTTAACAGTTGTTTGTTTCCAAAGTCGCAAATAATTTTGCATTAGTAACTTTGATCAGACTACATCAGGCAGATTGAAATGCATATATATATATATTTGCACTACCTTTTAGATTCTGAAAGTATTTGTTTCATAGAGATCTAATAGTTTTGTTAAAGTATATATTTTACAGTATCGATCTATGGCGTTGGTATCTGACAGAAAACAGCCTGTTTGTGTTTACAGTGGTCAGAGATGAGGTGAGCATTAAAATCATGTTGTCAGGCTTGACACAGCCGGGCTTCTTGTTGCAACCATATATGGTGCTATTTAAGGCACTTCAGCTTTGGCTTTACTCTTCAAAAGCAGCTCTGTCTATCTTTTATATACAGTCTGTGACACGAACTGTATATAAAAGATAGGGGGGAAAATGCACCTCAGTTTTCTGACTGGAAACCGAAACATGATGTGAATTTCCACCTGTGTCTGCGAGCCTGTCTGCTCCCAGCAGCTGTTCATCAGAAAGGCAGAACTCACGCTGTGTTTTTGCTTTAGTTTTTTTCCTCCACAGCCAAAGAGAAAATAGACTGTTGGTGTAATTATAACTTCTTCATAACACAACTCTCTTTTAGCGGTGAATAAAAGCACTTAGTTTCGATTATTTCCTGACTTTCCGAGCTGGAACTGTTCGATCGCTGCCAGTTTTGTGCTAATTTGTTCCTTTCAGTAAAAATAATTTTGCGTGGCGGTGCATGTGAGGCTGTGCCTGCCAAGCTGTTGTGTTATTAGTGAGATTTCATGGCTGGCAATCAGAGTGTTGGCTGGTGCATCTGTGTCAGGAGACCCATAAGGCCAATCTGTTTGTGCGCCGCTCCCCTGCCAGAAAGATGGCCGAGGTGTTGCCAGAGAGGCGCTCCAGCAAGACGCTTTGAAACATCTTAGATAACTTCGAATGTTCAGTCGTTTTTAAATCATTTGTGCAGAAAATTGAAATAGATTAATTATATTTGCGAACGCCATAACCCAGATGCCGCTTAGTGAGCAATATGATGGCTTTACATTGAGGTGTAGCATGCATGGTTAATTTAGGTGTGAGGACAGATGGCTTCTTGGATGAAGTCTTTTGTAATTTGGAACTAAAATGCTGAACCACTCATGCAAATTCCCCCAAAGCGAGAAAATCCCATCTCCGTTTATTTCTGTCCTTTTCTGTTTTTTAAGGAAACTCCAAAGGGAAACGTCAGAAAAAGATTGTCTGCAGGACCCAGCACTACCTGAATCTGTACGCTGCAGATGGACTTCGCACGCTGTGCATAGCAAAAAAGGTATGCAAGCACGGATCTGTAAACCTGAACAACTGCCCTCCATCATTAAACTGCTTTAAAAGGGGGACGGAGGTGGTGTGTCTCAGTGGCTTCTTGACAGGATGTGTTTGCAGCCCGGCGCAGATGATCACATGGACCAGCCCTTCCACAAGTGACATTCTTCGTGACTCAGCTGCAATCTGTGCCACTTTCCCAGGCTGTTAATTTATGCTCTCACAAGCTGGGCTCATTATATTCCTGCCTGTGCAGCGCCATCACCAAAGCAAAGCGATAAAACACCTTGTCAAGGTCTCACATTCTGTTATGGAGGATCCTTTTCTGCCATAAAGGCGAATGAGGAGTTTAGTTTTATCCCAGCAAGCTGACACATGACTGTGTGTGTGTGTGTGTGTGTGTGTGTGTGTGTGTGTGTGTGTGTGTGTGTAAACGTTTGTGTTTGTGTGTCAGATTCTGAGCAAAGAGGAGTACGCCTGCTGGCTGCAGCGGCACTTGGCGGCTGAGACGGCCATTCAGGGAAGGGAGGAGCTGCTCTTTGAGTCGGCCCTGCAGTTGGAGACGAACCTCCATCTTCTGGGTAGCTCTCAGTTACAGCTGAAACTGTTATTACGAATGTAATTACTCTAATGTTGGAGAGTTTGTCACAGACTTGCCTTCTCCTTCAGGAGCGACGGGCATTGAGGATCGGCTGCAGGACGGCGTGCCTGAAACTATAGCTTCCCTGCGGAAGGCGGGCCTACAGATATGGGTGCTGACGGGGGACAAACAGGAAACTGCTGTGAACATCGCGTACGCGTGCAAGCTGCTAGACCCCGAGGAGGAGCTCCTGACACTGAACGCTGACTCTCAGGTGAGCAGTAGCACCAGCCAGGTTTTAATAAACTCTGGTTTCCTAAACGTGGAGCGCTTTCACACCTGCACGCTGTAATTGGATTCTTGCTCATTTCTCCCTTGGTACCATTTGTTTTGGCACATGTGACTTCCTTGGTCACAAATAAACTCTGCAGCCACCGACTGCAAAGTGTACGCTATAGTCTTGAGCTAATCAAACGGCAGCAGATTCCTGTGTAGTAGCAGCTGGTGGACACAATGGTCATTGCTGTGTGAACAGTGGTGGTCTAAACAATCAGTGTGCAACCCAAGATTAGAAAGGTGAAAACGGAAAAAGTGGCTGCAATCAGCAACACCAAATCACAACAACAGTCACCTCAAGGCGCTTTATATTGTAAGGTAGACCCAACAATCATATGACCCCCTATGACCAATCACTTTGGCGACAGTGGGAAGGAAAAACTCCTTTTTAACAGGAAGAAACCTCCAGCAGAACCAGGCGGCCATGTGCCGCGACCGGTTGGGGTGAGAAGAGGAAACTCCTCTGTCATGTGAGCATCTCAAGCTCCTGCAGTGATGAGTCACTGAAATGCCGGTAAAGACCGACCCCCGGTCGTCTTTGCCTAACAACGTTTCAGAGGACGGAGTCTCAAGCCATTTGGATTCTTATTCACAGTCTAAATGTTTTTCTACAAAAGTGATCGGCTGCCTGAAGAGAATAACTGATTGCACAACTTACTGCATTCATTTTTGCATTGCTCAAGAACATCGCCTGTGAAATTGCCAGCAAATAATTAGATTTATTATCAGATTTAATTCATTTATCCCAAAAATTGCAAATTGTGTCTTGCAGCATCCAAACACTGAACATAAGATTTAACAAAACAGCATAAATAAAGTATAATTACAGAGAAAAAAAAGAGCTCAATAGGTAACAAGCTGAGTGTACTGTTGTGGAATAAAGTTGGCTCATAAAGCAAACTAAAACTTGCTGAATGCATTAAAATATCTGCTCTAAACCCGACCGACCCGAGGACAGGCAGGAGATCTTTATTTTAGTTGCCAAAGTTTTAGCACAAACTGACAGCAGAATGGGTGAAAAACGCCCCACAGAGCACAGCGCAGAAAAAATGTGCTGGCCGCGAATCTCCTGTGGTGACGAGTCGGGTGGAAATGTACGACATGTGTCAAATCAACCTTCGGCTCCGCTGGTGGGATGACAAACAGCTAGTTTTGCGTTGGCATCATAGATTGTGTGTAAAGCGTTAGCACAGCGATAGCATGCTGCTGTTGTAGAGCTTTGTTGTCAGACTCACAGCTGTGTGTTGTTGTTTTCTAGACCGAGCACAGGTTGATCTTTAGTGTCGCGTTCTTGTCCCTTTCTGGAATAAATCAGAAGAAATCCTCATTCCAAAAGATGGAGATCGCTCATGTTTGTGTCTGATCTGACCCACCCTACATCATGTGTTTCTACTACAGACGTTTACTGTGTTTACAGTAAAGCCTTACACAGGATTTAAATTCGTATTTGATCTTAAAGTATCCAAGCTCTAGAGCTCCGGAGATTGTTGCCGCTGAATTAACATGCCGTCCTGACGCTGAACTTCTCTGTGACCCAGGAGGCGTGCGCGCTGCTGCTGGAGGAGAGTTTACACTACATCCAGGCCAAATTCCTCTGCAGCCCATCAGGCCCAACCACCAAGAGCTTCAACACGAACTTCTCGCCCTTTGACATCTACTCCTCTTCATCTCCGTCCTCCCAGTCCACTCCCTTCTTGGTGCACCGGCTGGGCCTGGTGATAGACGGGCGGACGTTGGCCTACGCCCTGGATAAGAGTTTGGAGGATAAGTTTCTGGCCGTTGCACGGAGCTGCCGTTCCGTGCTGTGCTGCCGGTCCACGCCGCTGCAGAAGAGCATGGTGGTCAAACTGGTGCGGAACAAGCTGAAGGTCATGACTCTGGCCATAGGTAAGGACCGGGTGAGCATATTCAGACACAGATGGGCCTGATTTTAAAATCCCGTCACAAGCTCACTGCTGGACTTAAAAACAACTGACCTCACCCGGAGTAAAAACTAAACATTTGTCCTATCTCACGCTTACACGTGTTTATAGTTGCAGATATAAAAATGAGGCCTGTTAGGCTCTAACGTTGTGTTAAAGCATTCCTTAGCTTTGAACGGCGTAAACTGTGAGCTGTTGTCTTGAACCTTCAGGCTATCCCCAGCATGTAAGATCCCAGCAGCGTCCGGACAGATCAGAACGTGCCTGAGCTCTCGAGCACAGCTGCTAACCTGCTCGCAAGTTGTTCCCAAATATTAGCGAGCTTGGATGAGGGATTTTTTTCTCAGCGTTGAAAGACATTTTTGGAACACACAGACTCTTCCAGACAAGTGTACAAGTGACTTTCCCCATCTTCATCTTACTCTTTAGCTGTTCTAACAAAGGCATGAATGCCATATTTTAATTGCAGTGTGCACACCTGAATCTGCCAGCCCTGAATATTCACTTTATTTACTTTATTCATTGCATCTTTACCTCATCGTGCAGCCAACTGGCTGCTGCACGGCTCCAGTGAAACTCCTGTATGTTCCTCCTGCTGTGATCTCCGTGTGAGCTGATTTTGAAATTTGCCTGAGATGGAGGTGCACCATTCATCATTCAGCCTCCGCTCTGAGTTATTCTTAGTATTTCTACACTTTCCCCTAATGAAGCTGCAGCAGCAAAGAGGCGACGCGAGGACGTCACTGTGACCTGCGTTGGTCTTTTCTCTGTTTTCCATTTATTTGGTCCAGCTGCGCTCAGGAGGAGCAGGTTTTATTTGCCAGCGGGGCGTTTTTTTTTCAGTCAGTGCTATGTTAGCTTTTGAGCTTTAATATCTTTCAGTACTTCAGTCTTATTATTCAGACGTGTCACACTTCACGAGCTGGTACGGAGCCTTACTCACATTATTTGTAATAATAATAAATCATGGCCTCCTCGGGCCACTCTAGGGTTTTAATGCAAGTATCTGACCAATAATATCGCTGCGCTGGGGTTAATTATACTAACACACTGTCCAGTTCTGGTGAGAAAAATTCAGGAATTTAATTTGGATGTTGCTGATCACTAATAAGCAGATACAATAACATCCAAACATGGTCACGTCTGGCTCCAGAAAAACTGATATGGCAGCAGCCGAAATGCACTCTGGTTATACTTTTGTGAAAAAGTCGTGATGGCACATTAATCACGTTGTTCCATCCCACTCACAAAAAAAAATCCAGCCTTGTGAATTCTCAGTGAAAAAGAAAAAAAGGAAAAAAAAATTCCAGCCAACTTCTATTTGAGTTCTTCTCACCACCTACCTTTCATTATCAGTCTGTGCTGCCACTGCGGTGCCATTGTGACAACAAAATCCTCCTCCTCTCCCACTCCACCACCTGTAGTGACAAAAAGAAGGGAAAACAAATTTATCCACACATCCGGAGACACCGCCTGTCGGCTGCCGCAGCAGGAAGGCCTCCGCCTCACGGGAGGCCGAGCTGCAGAGGTGGCGAACGGCACCGCAAGCGCGCGGCTCGTATAACGGCTGAGGAGTCTGTGAAAGCTTCACGTTCCTCTCGCAAACACGGGGCACGCCGGCTTCTCCATCTTGTCATCTTCACGCTCAATAAAGCCCCCCCCTTCTTATAAACTGATGTACCTCCTCCTTCTAACGGTCTATTTTCTCTCTTTCACTTCCCTACATTAATCACAGGAGATGGGGCCAATGACGTCAGCATGATCCAGGTCGCAGACGTGGGTGTGGGGATCTCAGGACAGGAAGGCATGCAGGTAAGGTGATGAATAGAGTGGCACATGGGGCGGAGAGGAGAGGTGGGTGATTTACGGTGGGCTGTAAAAAAAAAAAAAAAGAAGCGCAGCCTGAGAGCTCCTGAGAGCGAGAGGAGCTGCAGATAAAAGATTGGGGAATTGGGAAGAGGGGGAGACACTAGCATTCTTTAGGGTTGTTAATGGCTTTTCATTACACTTAAGTGCGGTTTTTAGCCCACATCCATGACCATCCTCTAAATAGGATTGCCTGTGCTGTGCTGAGTCAGCAGGAAGGCCCTGTGTCCTGCAGAGAAGCAGCGCGGCGTGGACGCTCAGCTCCAAGGCCACAGCTGAGAGAGCATCTTCACGAAGAAAACCCTCCTCCCCTCCGCTCATTTACCTGCAGCACCCTGCTCCAGAGCTGTGCTCTTATGATGGAGATTCCCAATTAACTTCCAGGGGAGGCTTTGCCGGCACGCTGCTGTGTAGCACATCTGCTAAAGCCTCAGTATCCTGTCTTTAACCAATCCGCTGCATTAATTACCGTTAATCAAACTGCCACTTAATGAGACAGCGGTCACTCTCGGGGACTCCGCCGCACACCACGTGCTGAGACGCTCTTTACTGCGCCCCGGGCCTGCACGCGCTGCTGCATTATCATTAACGGACCATTCGTCTATTAGCGACGCGCTCCCTGTGTAGTCGTTAGGAGGGGTTATTGGAGCGCAATGTTGTTTCTGTTGCTGAAGGCCGAGAGGTGCCGTAAAGGGTTAGCGGCGGTGTTTATGATGTAAAAGCAGGGCTCAGTACTGGGAGTGTTTTACACGGTGATGGATGACACTGACAGCTTCCTGCCGCGGTAACGGTGAATCCCAAGAGGAGGCCAACTCGTTTACGAGTTATTGCTTTGGAAAGATTATACCCGCTAAAGATTCATTAAGAAGAGGCGAGAACAGTCAACGAGTAACTGCCTAATGTGTGCTCGTCTCGTGTACGTAGGAGAGAGGCGGCAGGAGACTGAACGTTTGGTTCTTGTGGTGTTCTGCAGGCAGTGATGGCAAGCGATTTTGCCCTCCCACGTTTCCGGTATCTCCAGAAGCTCCTGCTGGTACACGGGCACTGGTGCTACTCCCGCCTGGCTAACATGATCCTGTATTTCTTCTACAAGAATGCAGTAAGGCCCCTCCCAGCGCACACAGATCTGAGTCAGAAAGGATGAGGTGTTCTGCTTTTTCTCACTGCTTCCATCCCATTTGTTCCCTCAGATGTTTGTGGCGCTCATCTTCTGGTATCAGTTCTACTGTGGCTTCTCAGGTTCAGCCATGATTGACCAGTGGTATCTCATCTTCTTCAACCTGATGTTCTCTGCTTTCCCACAACTCATTACTGGCACTCTGGACAAAGACGTGTCAGCAGAGACTCTCCAACAACTACCTCAGCTCTACGTGAAAGGCCAGAACTCCGAGGTGCGCTCCCTCCTAATGATCTGACAGCACATTTCAAATTTTTACTAACAAGAATGTGGGAAAAACAAAACAAAACTGAAAAGTAGACTGGGTGTCTGTCTCCTGAATGCAAACTGGGAGCTGGTTCCACAGAAAGGCCTCCCATTCTACTTTTAAATACTCTTGGAGCCACAAATAAAACAGGAGTCTAAGAGCAAAGTTTTAGGATAATGAGGTCTTTAAGATGTGATGTGGCCTGGTTGTTCTGGACTTCATAGATAATAATAATAATACATTTTATTTATGAGCGCCTTTCAAGTCACCCAAGGACACTTTACAATAGGATAAAACACTTAGTAAAACAATGGCAGAATAAGAACAATAAAAAAAAGCACAAGATAAAATGAACAAACAGTAGATTCACAGTGAATATGCAGATTTGAACAGATGAGTTTTGAGTTGGGATTTAAACTGGGGGAGAGAACCAATATTTCTTATTTCTGGGGGCAGAGAGTTCCACAGCCTGGGAGCAGAGCAGCTGAAAGCTCTGCTTCCCAAGGTGGTGCAGTAGGTAGGGAGAAGTGCTAATTCTGGATTTAACAGGGAGACGGTGTAGATAAGCAAATATGGGAGAAATATGAGCGCTGCATCTACAGCCAGTTAATACTCCCTCTATAGCATTTTAGATCAGCTGAAGGCTTTTTAGAGAGCTTTTACAAAAGTCTGATAAGAAGAAATTACAGTACACCAACCTAGAAGTGAAAAATGCATGAACTAGTTTGTCAGCATCACTCTAAGGCAGGATGTTTGTAGCTCCGTAGTGTAGTAAGTTTACACAAATTGCGGCTGTTTCAGGTGCTGAGTTATCTGTGAGCCAAAAGCTCAGACTGCTCTAAACGCTCAGTTCACACTACTACTGTGGACTCATATGAGAGAGCAAATGTCCCTACTGTAGTTATCTCTGTCATAGAAGCCCCACCTTCTGTTTGTGAGAGGCAGCCAATCAGAACGATGTTAGCTTAAAGGCAAGTTGGCTTGAAATGAGGGGTTCCAGTGAGCCCTAAACTCTTAATCATGCAAAGTTCTCCACGATTTAGTCTAAGAATTAAACTTGGTATTACCATGAGGGGTTTTTTTCCTCTCCCTGGCATAGGTGAAAGACTTCACTCTTTGCTCCAGAGAAAACCCAGTTTGTCAGTCTTGACTCAAAAGTCAAGAATAAGCTGGAATTCATTTTGCATGCTGCATAGATACCATTCAGTTTAGAAATCCACATTTTTCCTAAATAAAATGAATTTATGTTATAATATGCCATGATTTCTGTCATTAACCTTTGATTTCTAGCATAAATTTTAGCGTAAAGGTTAGAACTGTTGCGCTGCTTCATTGTTTTGATGGGTCATTAATTTTATTTCTGACCCAGAATTAATCAGGACTAGTTAACTGCTTCTGGTATCAAATGTAGGTAATAGAGACATTTTTATATGTTTTGAATATTTACATTTTTAACATTTTTCTTCTCTACAGTCACACTGATGCTGAGTGTCTGTGTTTATCCTGCAGGAATATAAGCCATATATGTTCTGGATGAACATGATTGATGCCTTCTACCAAAGTCTCGTCTGCTTCTTCATTCCTTACTTTGTAAGTGTCACGTCTGCCATTCGTCTTCACCAAGTTATTAGAGTTTTACCTTTGTATTGATTTGGGTTTTTTTAGTGTTGATTTTAATGTTTTATCCTCTTTACATGGTTGTTAAAATGGATTCGTCAGCAATGAAATTTATTAATTCACAATTTATTTATTAATTTCTTTAAATTTTACTTAAAAAGAATGTTTTCATTACAAAGCATGAACCTGGAAGTGTTGTAGTGATTGCTAAGCTCACATTTTTATTTATACAAAACTGCAATATATTCAATATATATCAATAAATGCACAAAAAATGCTTAAAAATACAGAAATTCAGTGAGATCCTCCTATCGGTATGTAAGGTGTGGTCTTATGTTGTTTTGGTCGATTATCAGTTCTAGCAAGCAACGTGTATTCACGTCGCTTTATGTTGTGTTGGGGAAAAAATTGACTAAAAGAACAAAAATCTGTTTTCTGTATATATTTTTTTAATGAAATGTTCTTTTATGCTACCCAGGCCTACGCTGACTCTGACGTGGACCTGTTTACATGGGGAACTCCCATCACCACCCTCGCCTTATTCACTATTCTGCTGCATTTGGGCACCGAGACCAAAACATGGGTAAGAAATCTGATTATAAAGCCAACAGATGACAGCAGCGATCCCTGATGTTTATTTAAAAATAAAAACAATTTTAAGCTCATAGTCAGTCTGCTTTGGATGGTTACAGCATTGTAATGCTCAAAATCTCTGTGGTGGAACATGAGTGGTGTTTCCAAAACCTCACTGTTGGCCTGTGATTATCATTCAATGGTAACACATTACAGGAACCTTTGTAATAAATTATAAAAATGATAGTTTTATGCAAAAAATTCATAAAATTACATATTTTGTAACCATTTTTTTTCATGGATTGGAAAATCAGCATCATAGAAATTTGCCAGACATGAACAATTTATTGATTTATTTTTGAAAACTTCTGTTTCATAACTTGTGAAAACAAAGTTGACATTTAGTTTAATTCCTGGATTCTGTCATATGTAGCTTTAACATACTACTTTAACCCGTTTAATTCTGTTATTTATCACTAAGAGCACATTAATCACGTAGTGTACATATTTACGACTTTTATTGTGAAAGGCAAAAGAAGCCTAAAACAAACTGGGTTTCCGGTAGAGTCTGTACAGCAGGTGGATATAGAGCAAAATTGAGTATTTTGGTCTAAGTAACCCAAAATGTGATGTCCACATATATGGACGCCAGGTCCGAGGAGGTTAAGCAGAGATTTGAAGTTGTGCAGAAGATGGAACAAAGACTAGAAAACGTCAGAAACAAACCCCATGTTTTTCCCAGGGTGAGACCAGCCTCGCTCGAAACTGAACCAGGCAGCCAGAGATCAGAGCTTAGACTTGGAGTGCTATAAACTCCAGTTACAACTCATCACAGCGTGCCAACACCTTACACCGCCAGAGAGCTCAGACATGATGCTCATAAACTGTTGAAATTTATGACTTTGCCCTGAGTCCGAGTGTTCTCCATCATCTCTGTGGCTGTAAATTCAGCCTGATGAGGGTTTTTTTTCTTTCTTTTTTTTAAACACGTGGGAAGAGTGTCCTTTTTACTTACTGCCTTCATGGACATGACTGCCCCTCATTTAGAGGCGCTTTCATTAAAAGGAGCACGATGGAAGGTACACTTCCACACACTCGGATGGCAGGCCCTTCATTTCCTCGCTGCTCAGGAACATAATGCACGCCTGATTGGTAAACTGGTGTGAAAGTCAATTAAAGGTAGGTAGGTGACAGCAGCCCCCCCTCCTCCCCCAAAATACAGAAGCTGTGAGGCTGTAATTAATTACGTGTGTCAGTACAACACTTCAGTGAGCCATCGTACACGATTCACTGTGTCAGACGTCTCATCAGCCAATCATCTCCAGGATGCAACATGAGGAGTTTTTTCCCCTCGCTGACTAAACTCATTTTAGGGCACGAGAAGACGGTTTCGCATCCACACTTCTGTCTTTCCGCCTGGAGGAAACTTCTTTAATGTCGCCTAAATGTACAGCAAGCTTTAGCTTCCAGTCACGTTTGCCTTCATTTTAATATATATGTTAACAATATTTTGCAGGCAGTAAATCAAATCACTGTGTATCCCTTATAGAGAAATTGAGAGTCTTATATAAAAACAGTATTATATTAGTATTTCCGTGTCATTGTATATTCAGTACCGGTGTGTGTTCTGCGCTACAAGCAAACTTGGTGAGATCTGATTATTCGCATGTGAAAAATCGAGCTTTGTTTGAAAAAATAACGACAGTAAAATTACGTGGTTGGTGTGAACGCCTGCGTTAAGAACAGGTGTGTAACGTCTTATGATTTTAAGTTTCTGTTACTGTTTCTCATCCTCGTGTCCTTCCCCCTGCAGACGTGGATGAACTGGATGTCGATCGCCTTCAGTATCGCCTTATTCTTCACCGTGGCGCTGTGCTACAACGCCTCCTGTCCCGCCTGCTACTCTCCTTCCAACCCCTACTGGACCATGCAGAGGCTGCTGCAGGAGCCCCTCTTCTACCTGCTGTGCTTCATCACGCCCATCGCTGCGCTGCTGCCTCGGTACACCGTGTTCAGTTTGTGGATGAGTGAAAACACGAGCCTGTTTTTCAAATATTTATGATCCGAGTGCTGAATTACGTCTGTTATTGATACCAGATGCCTTTCATGTTTATCCCAGCCGCCTGGCGATCTTCGGTGGAGCGATGCTGATGTCAGTCTGTTTTACTTTTCAGATTTTTCTACAGGGCGTGTCAAGGCACGCTGTTCCCGAGCCCAGTCCAACTTGGAAGGCAGTTGGATAAACTCCCCACTGACATCCGCAGGAACATCCTTAGCCTGAGTCGGGTCAAGGTGGGGTCGCCGCTCTGCCCCAAGCTTCCTTTCCTGTCCCTTGCTAAGGCCTCGCCTAAAGGTTACTATAAAAAGGATCGGAGGAGCGTCTCTGGCTCAAAACAGGGGCCTCTATTACAAACAGATGAAGCAAAGAGAAGCCCGCTGCAGCCCACAGACAGCGATATGCACCTTTCAGATCTCTATACACCAGCTCCGTCAGAAGTAGACACCCTTCCCTACACCAAAGACAACCCCGCCCTGTCAGGGGAGCTGCAGACTTCTTCTGCCGCAGACTCTGAGCATCTCAATAAGACTATAGAGCCGTCAGATGTCAATCTGTCCAGCTGTGTCACCTCCACACCTCTGCCCGCTCAGGCAGACGGCGTGCAGCTGAGCATGCCCCCCGACGGAGCCTCGCAGTGCGTCAGATACACGAGGAACTCAGAGGAAAGACTCAAATCTGAGCACGCCGTCAGTTCGGCACACAGGACAGAGCCGCCGACAGAACGGCCGCTGCAGGCCGCTTCCTTCAGTCTTAACTAGGAATTCAATTGCACAATAGTTTGTTTGTTTTTTAAAGATCTAATTATATTTTTCAAGCAGATTCTTTTATGAAACATGCAAAGAGGTACTTTATATTTTGGATGTAAATCTAAAGCAGAGATATTTTTGCCTTTTGGGAGATTTATTTTTCTGATACTGGGAAACTTAAAGTTCACACAGAAACATCTCAGTACTCTGTCAGGTCTTCATGAAAAGAAGAGCAAAGAGATTCCACCGTGATATGGTACCCAGTTCGTTCTTTCAGCTTGGCCTGTAAATGCACCAAGACCGGGATCGGAGCCGTTCGTGGCCTCGAATCGGTGCTGACGAGGAAAGAAGTTCCCGTACTTTACTTATACTTAATGGCCACGCAGAAGCATATTTCTGTGAGGACTTCCATGCAGATGATACCAAAGGTTTATATTCAAGTGCAGCAAGTTGTGGTGCTGGCTCTGTGCACATTTTCTTCTTCTTGTTGGATCGGGAAACATAGAAGTCCGTTTCTAGCTGTTCTCTTGCACAGTAAATTCTTCTAAATTATAGTTATTAGAGCTGTTGGCTGTAAAGTTATTTGTGCATTATGACCAAGAAATCGCCATTTCAGTCTTTATGCACTAAGAATCCACCAGGAATTATGCTGTGTGTATGTGTGGGTGCGTGTGTGTGTTTGTTTCTACAGGGTTAAGACTTGGTTTGAAATGGTTAGCGTTAGGATTATGTTCAGATTAGGGTTCGGGTTAGACGTTTAGCTGGGCCATGGAATACGCTACATCCTCGCAAAAGCAAAACTCTTATATACGTGCGTGTGTGTGTGTGTTTATCCAATGACTCATTGGATCTCTTTTAAGAGCCAGTTCCGCATAAATGTAGATTTGCTAACTGTTGCCAAGAGTTGAGGTCAATCCGTCAAATATAAAGCTGAAGTCGGAGGCGTTATTTTCTAAAAAAAATAATAATAATAATAATTTTAAAAACCTGCTTTCCAGCATCTCTAAAGCTCATTAATTAACATTTCATAACATCTCCTTTCTTTCATTTTTGTAATCACCATATCATAAAGATAATGTATGTATCATTGCTAGCGGTTAGCTGCTTCTGTCTTCACCTTCATGTACTGAACCCGTCACTTGTCAGCCTCCAGCCGAGTGAAAACCCTCCTCTGTGTGTCTGCGCAGATGTTTTGCAGATGTCTTCTCATCTGCATCCTTTACAGTTTTACTAGGAAGCACTTTAAAAGCCCCATTTTGCTTTTAGCTTTTCAGTTTTTAAACACCACGTTTACAGTTGGATATTTTTACCTTAAGCTGTTTCCCTCTGCTCTTCGACTTTATACACAGCTAAGCTAACGCTATCATAAGAAGCAGGATTTTTGCTACCGTAAGCTTTTTTTTTTTTTTTTGTCTTGTTTTTTTTTTAGTCTGACTTTAATCATGTTTGATCTTTGGCCCTGTGCGAGTAACATAGTAGCATTTAACTAAATGCGATCTTAAAACTGGAATTATTCTGACAAAGATTTATATCTTCATAAGCAATGACCGGTACTCAGAACAGGAGGTCTTGGCCTGTGCAAGTGTCCTGACTCCAACACAAACATGAGAGAGAAGGATTCAATTTCTTTTGTTTGTGAGAAACAGCCAGTTGGAAGGAGTTTCAGAGTAGAAACTGGGCGATCGATGCCCAGAATAAGAAAAAAGGGGCATTATTTTGAACTTTTACTCATGAAAAGCTAGGCTAACGCTAATGAGTGAAATAGTAAATACATAAAGCTGAGCATAACAGAGGCACCGCTTAGTCTGTGCAAGTCCCCTTTTTCCATTCATGTCATGTGTTTAGTTTATCTGAAGCCCATCTGAGGTTTTTTTTTTTCTTTTTTTCCTAAAGCTGTAAACCAAATCCTCGGGGCTCAGTCTGTCCCAGATCTTAAAGAGACTGCTTTAAGTTTGCACTTTGAAAGCTTTCAGTCGCTGAGTGTCGTCGGTGCTGCAAGGAGAGCGGGAGCTTTGCACCCCTCTTACCTTTGCAGACACTTTGATGCGTTCCTCCAGTTTATGGTTGAGCATTTAAAGCAGCAGCACCTTTTTAACATTTTCTGAAGGGCGTGTCTCATTCCAGGATGTTTTTGTAAGGAGTTCAACTTTTGCCAAAAGTCATCTATATATTCTACGTGCCTTAACACTGGATAAGAAATGAGAAATGTGCTCGTGATGCTGATTCTGTTTGTTTAATGATGATGGAGCATATATTCGGAGGCTGCAGGCTCTGTGGTTTCTCTCCACCTGTCCTTTTGCACATGGTGCTTGTTCCATTGGCATGCTGTTGTCTGCAGTCTGTTCGCTTTGTTTCAGAGGTTCTGTCATTTGGGGTGTCGCACTTTGTGTGCCAGGCTGAAGCTTAAGTGTTTCTGCGATCCTACACACACACTGTCACACAGCGTATCTGAGCATATTCAATATTTTTCTCCTTATCTTTCTTTTGGTTGCTGCATCGGCCGAATGTGAGCTTCACTGTTTGAATGGTTTCGCTCTCAATGCTGATCAGCCACAGCATTAAAACGTTTTTTAAAAACCACAATTATTTTGAAGCACAGTAGTTTTCGAAAAGTCAATGAGACATTGAGTCTTCATGTTAAAATAGCTGCCAGGTTAATGGGATGTGAGATGGGTTATTGTTGTTGACCGAGACCAGAAAAACAGCAAGTCGCTCCACTTTCACTAAATTAATTTAGGAAGACATCGAAGCGTTCAAGGTGTTAAACTCTGCCACTGCCAGCTGGTGAAGCCGTGTTTCTACCAATCAGATCTGTTTTTTATGTTGTGGCTGATCAGTATATTGAAAGGTATTGATCAGAGATTTTGGGATAAACACTGAAAAGCTGCAGCCGGTCACCAACGTAGAAGAACTGTTTTAGGTTTTTATTAATATTCCACATTTTTATCAGTTCTTTGGCCTTTGTGCAACTGGAAAGTTTCTGTACATGGCTACTTTTGAACAAAATAAAAATGATAAAGAATTATTTATGCTTTCCTGGTCTTATTAATATACATTGACTTATATTATGTATAGCAGGCTTTCCCACTATAAACGTGAAACCAGTGAGCCATTGATCATACCGTAGATAATTCTCCTTTCTGACTTGCATAATTACCATAATTTACTAAATTAAGTTTAAATTTTATTCAACAAAAGCTGAAACTTTTGACTGAGGCCATAAAGACATCAGGAAAGTGTTTACTGGGGTCCCAGACTGAGGGAGATGTGCACTATTTTCCCCTTACACTTCAATTCAATTTCAAGTTTTGTATAACCTGAGTCGCCCCCTGCTGGCCGTTAGAAAGAATGCAGGTACTCCCACATTAGCATCGCCAGCTTTTTATTCTACCTTTGTAGTTTTGGTAGGAAAATCCTGATTCAAAGTAGAGTCTAACAGTCATCCTCAGAAACATGACTGTTGGGGGTTTTGTGTGTTTTTTGTTTGTTTGTTTTAAAGCTCATCTTCCGTTTCCTTCTCTGGATCCATGTGCTGTACAGTGTCCTCAAATTAATGACCGTCGCAGCACTTTCTCCTCGGACACTGAGATAGTGATGACTCCTTCCCTCATCAGCTGTTTTTGTGTTTGTTTGTTTGTTTTTCTGCCTACGCATGAAGGTGTGACTTTGAGCAAAGCTTTTTGTTTTTTTGGGTTGCATTGCTGTGATAAGTAACATGGGTGTCCGTGGATCAGGAGGTACAGCGGGTCCTCCACTCGGTGTTTCGTTCCCCAGCTCGTATCCTTGGGAAAAATACTGAACCCCGAGTTTCCCCTGATTCATCCACGAGTGTGTGAATGTTAGGTTAAACGTGTTTAAGGTGAATGGGTGAATAAGATTTGTAGTAAGAAAGTGCTTTAAGTGTTCAAATAGAGTAGAAAAGCACAGAAGTACCAATCCATGTACAGTAAAACTGACTTTTGTCAGTTTTATGATGATAATTAATGTAAAAGATTGATATTATCATTAAACAGCTCCACTTGGATTTGAAGACTTACTCTAATTACTTTTTAAATCACCTGCACAACGATGCTCATTCGCAAGTTAATAGAGTTTGATTAGATTTTTTATCATAAAGGAGCTCCATTGATTGTGGCCATTAAAGAGGCCCAGGCCCTCTTCGTGACCCGTAGTTTTAACGAGCTTAAATCAGACTATTTTCAATTTCCCAAGCTGCCTCGTATATATATATATATAACGTGGTCCACCGCAGCAGTCAGAGACCTGGATCGTGGGAGTGATGATGCTTTAAGAGCCTCTCCTTTTCCACTCCTTTCTTCCATAGACGTTTTGTTCATTTGCACCAGTGAGGATATGCAATGCATCATTTCTGGTCGCAAATAATAAATGAAGGATTTTTTTTTTTTTTGGGATTTTTTTTTTTTGTGAGCCAGGGCCATCTGTCTTCCAGTTGGTGGAGGCATTGCGAGGCTCCGTTCTGCTCTGTCACGTAGGAGTGGCTCAGAAAAAGCATTATTGCACTTTTTCAGTCTAACTTCCCACTGACACAGGAAGCCTGCCAAACGAAACAGCAGGGACACCAATAAACACCACACAGAGATAGACAAACACCTACGAGTAGTTCAGGGTCTTTGGTTCACCTGAGAGTAAACTGTGTGAGGAAACACTACAAGAAAAACATGACTAAGAAACCTATTTATGGGTTAATTCTTACACTTTTAATAGTAGTTTTTAGAAAAGTCCTTTGGATGATTTTTCCATTCATGCTTAAATTTTTCAGACCTTTATTTGGGTCCGGGTCATAGAAGCATATGTTTAAGAGGGTTTCCAGGGTTTCCTCTCACTCGGACATACCAGAAGCATCTTACATCAGAGGCCCCACGGTGGCATCAGGGTCAGATGCTGAACCTCTCCACCTGGCTCACATCAGCGTGGAGTAGCTGATCTACTCGGGGCCCCTCCCGGATGACAGAACTCCTCACTTGTCCCTTAGTGAGGGGTGCTTGTGTTTGAGATGCTTTAATTCTTCTAGTCATTACTCAGAACTCGTGGCCACAGTGACTCCCCATGAACTGTATAATCCAGGGCAGTAGAGTCTCTCCAGGCAATCCCGTCTTGGTTGAGGAGTCAGGCTAAGAATGATGCAGTATCATAATTGATATCCATCTATTTATGTTTTTTTACGCTTATCCAATTTGGGGACTAGAGCCTACCCCGGCTGCCATAGGGCGAGAGGCAGGGTACATCCTGGTCACGTCGCCAATCGTTCTCAAGGCTAAAACAGAGACGGACAACCGTCATACTCACATTCACACCTACGGCCAATTTAGAATCACTGATTAACCTAACCCCACTGACTGCACGTCTTGAAGTGTGGGAGGAAGTCTGAACGCCACACAGAGGCCCCGGCCAGGTGCTAGAATCAAACCCAGGACCTTCTTGGTGTGAGGCAACAGTGCTACAGTTTGAAAATGTTCACCTATAGCTAGGAAAACCCCCACTGACCTAAAAATGTGCCTTATAGCAGACACTAATGTTTCTTGGTCATTTAAAACACGGGGCGACCGTGGCTCAGGGGGTTGGGAATCGCATCTGTAACCGGAAGGTCGCCGGTTCGACCCCTGGGCTCTCTGTCCTGGTCGTTGTGTCCTTGGGCAAGACACTTTACCCTACTTGCCTACTGGTGATGGCCAGAGGGGCCGATGGCGCGATATGGCAGCCTCGCTTCTGTCAGTCTGCCCCAGGGCAGCTGTGGCTACAACTGTAGCTGCCTCCACCAGTGTATGAATGTGAGAGTGAATGAATAGTGGTATTGTAAAGCGCTTTGGGTGCCTTGAAAAGCGCTATATAAATCCAATCCATTATTATTAATTTTCTTATTTACAAAACAGGACAAATTTAGGAAAATGGACTATGAAGAAGTATTATGAATACATGTATTGGAAATGCTTTTTGTTTTACACATAAAGTTGAAAAACTATTTCAGAAAGTGACCAGATGCTTAGTTGGTATAAAGACCAAACTCGTCACTCCGACTGATTGGGGGCATCTCTAAAACAGAGGATCTTTGTGCCGTGAAGTGTGAAGCAGAAACCTTTATGTAAGCATATTTTGTTGTTTTTGCCTCATGAGCAGTTCAGCGGCCCGTTTGCCTGAGCGTGTTGTGATAATGTCGACATTTGCTGAAGTGTTGAAAATCCCCTGCGCTGATGAGCCCGTGTTATGAGCCAGCTCTGAGGATGTCTCTAAGGTACATGTGTCCCGATCGCACGAGACATCACCTCCGTCGTGATCGCCTCGGTGACCCCTGTCTCTGCCGGCTGTCTGGCACATTTCCAGGAATTGCTTAATACCCGTGATATAAAACGATCCTCTCCATCCTACGTCCTGTTCTGCATGCAGTCTGCAGCATCTTCTCTGGAACTCTGGACCACCCTGCAGTCTCACTCCCAGTCTGCATCGCAGAGGCTAAAAACACAAAGACTTTTTTTTTTAGTTTGAACTTCATTGCCGTGTTTCTGCTTTTGTTCTTGTTTCAGCGATTATGAGATAACTGGAAGAGTTAAAGAGCAGTTAAAAGCTCCTTCTGACACACAGTAGAGAGCAGAGAGAATAATAATCTGTTAAATATTCTGTAACAAGTAAAAGTCTTAGATTGTAAATTTTACTTAAATCTCAGTAACTTTTTTTTTCTAAATCAATCAGTTGCTCAGTTCCTGTGGGTGTATTAATTAAATGATCTGGACACAGTTTCGGCCTTACTGCCAGTTTTTGTCAGTGGTCATTTAAAAATCCCCAAAACAAACAACCAAAAAAAAAACCCCAAATCCCTGCAGCCCACAGAGCATTTTCCCACAGATACTATTAATACTGCAGAATTCTTGCAAACAAAGTATTTTTCCCTCGTCTTACTGAGTTATATTCAGCTGATGTCTCATGTTTTATTTTTGTGTCAAGATAATAAAGACCGAACAGACCAAGGAACCTGCAGGATGGTGCAGCTGATCACAGAGTAACAGGCCACTTGAAGATCTGAAGGCTAGCAATACAATAGAAGGTGCGCAGTGATGTTATAGGTGCCTAGGGGCTCTCCTCTTACTTTGATGGGCTGAGTGGGGTGGAGATTGACAGTGGTGTGGCGGTCGTTAAGTTGGGGTTGGTGAATCCTGCCAACTCTGTCCCCCCCCCCCCCATCCTTTCTCTTCCCTTGGTCTGCCTCCCTGTGCCATGATGTGTGCTTCAAAATGATATTCAGGTAGTTTGTATGACCCCCACGTGCTTGCATACGTGCTCCTAAACTTTACTTAGTTTTTATGAGGCAACGAGTTTGCATAACTTTAAGTTCTGGGAACTAGTGAAGCTAATGCGTAAGTTCAATAAGGGAAGATCTGTAATCACTCATCTGCTTTTCTGTTTACATGTCTCCTGCTTTCCCACGCTCTCGATACTCTGACTAAAAAGTATTCCTTTAATTTTTTTTAACAGTGTATAAACCTATTTTATTCACATAAGAGATAAGAACCTTTTTTATAAAAGGAAAGTAATATTCAGAGCTCAGCTTTTTCAGTTTAGCGTAGCCTCTCACTGAGGGTTTGAATCTATGTGTTGCGGGACAGTATTATCGCCTCTTTCATAAAGGATGCTCCAGTGTCTACTCTGCTAAAGCAGGGAATAAAGAAGGCTGTAAATCGTCTTTCCTGCATATCTTGAGAGTTCAAACAGCTCTGATTATGGCTACTTCTGGGTCGCTGAACCGTCCAAAACAAAACTCACTATTTGACCACACCCATCATTTCCTGGTTATGGGACCTGCCACTGCGGTTAAAGTACTTCTCCATACTGCATACTCCTCAACTTTTGCATAATACAACAGTTTCTTTAGATTGAGAGAGTTCATTCAAATCCAAACATAGTTTCAAAGAGAGAGACAGAAATCATGAGGGGCCATAATAAGAAGTTTCCTGCACACATGCGACCTGTTTGAAAGTAGGTCTGGTTGGGTATTTTAAAGCAGTTCTTCTGATT